GGAGGCTCAGAGCAGGCACAGTATGTGTGTGTGTGTGTGTGTCTGCTGGGGGCCTGCCCCCAGCCACACCATGGAGGCTTTGAGCAGGAGCCCCTCTGTGTTGATCTCTCAGGCTCCTGGCCTCCACTGCATGTTGTACTCTCCCTTGAGCTATGGCCAGAATGGGGGTGCTGTTTGCAAGTCGGACTTTCCTGCTCCCTGATCACCATGGTGACCGGGGAGCAGGCCCAGCTGGGGGCTACCCGCAGGCTGGGCTTGCTTTCCTGCTCCCAGATCAGGCCCAGCTGAGAGCTGCCCTCAGGCCAGGCTTGCTTTCCTGCTCCCGGATCACCATGGCAACTGGGGAGCAGGCAAATTTGGGGCTGCCCACAGGCTGGGCTTGCTTTCTTGCTCCCAGATCAGGCACAGCTGGGGGCTGCCTACAGGCCGCACTTTTCTACTTACCAATGACCAGATCACCACAGCGACCCAGGGCCCAGCGGCACTTTCCTGCTCTCCAATAGTCATAGGGTCCCGGCTGGGGGTGGGGCTTATGCCCCGCTGCCCAGGGCTACACATGGGGCCCGGATGGCAGCTCGCGCTGTCCCGCCCTGCCTGTAGTATAGGATAGAGGCCTGGTGCACGGGTGGGGGCTGGCTGGTTTGCCCTGAAGGGTGTCCCGGATCAGGGTGGGGGTCCTGCTTGGGTGCCTGGCCAGCCTAGATGTCGAGCTGATGACTGTTTGCAGCTGGTCACACCCCCTTCAGGGTAGGGGTCCCCACTGGGGTGCCTGGCCAGTCTGGGTGAGGGCCTGAGAGCCGTTTTCAGGCTGGAGGGCAACTTAAGCTCCCAGCTTCTCCTTTTTTTCCTTTTTTTTATTCTGGGATTTATTTACCTCTATAGCTGTCACTGGAGCTGAGAGCCGGCTCCAGCTCTGAGGGCTCAAAGCAGGTTTCTGGGTCTGTTTGGCTTCTATAATTGAAACTCTGTTGCCATCACTGCAGCTCTAAGCTCTGAGGCCGAAGCTGGCTGAAAGCAAGTCTCTGGAGCTTGTTTAGCTTCTATAATTGCAACATAGTTGCTTAGAGTGCAGCTCAGAGGCTGGCAGTGGCAGGTGGGGAACATTGGCTTCCTCCGTCACTGGAGCAAGCAGGCCTCCTGTTCGCTTCAGCTGTGTGGCTGCCAGCCGCCATCTTGGTTGGCAGTTAATTTGCAGATCGCCCTGATTAGCCAATGGGAAGGGTGTCGGGGTTATGGTCAATTTGCATGTTTCTCTTTTATTAGATAGGATATATATAGACTAGAGGCCCGATGCACAAAATTCGTGCAAGAGTAGGCTTTCCTTCCCCTGGCTGCTGGCACCGGCTTCCCTCTGGCACCCAGGACCCGGGCTTCCCTTCCTCCAGCCTCCAGCAGGCACCTGGGACCCAGGGTTTTCTCTGGCCACTGGCAGGCACCTGGGACCCGGGCTTCCCTCGCAGCCCTGGCTTCATCCGGAAGGGCGTCTGGTCTAATTATCATATTACGCTTTTATTATTGTAGAATACTAGTGACCTGGTGCATGGATTCGTGCACATTGAAAGGAAATTAGAAGGTGGCTGATGGGGTGGGACTGGGTGAGATGGGAAGGACATGCCCTGAAGCCAACCTCCTGCGGTCTTCCCCGGTGTCTGTGGAGTGAGCGGGATTCCTCTGGGAGGTGAGGTCCCTCAGCCTGGCCTATGGGGATCGGGCCGAAACCAGCTCTCCAACAGCCCCCGAGGGGTCCCAGAGTGCGAGGGGGCACTCTACAAAGTTGCTGTTGTACAGGGTGTGGAACGCAAATACAAGTGTGCAATAAACCAGATTCGGGGCCTACAGTGTTGCAGCAACAACATAACCCATGGCTGAAGGTGGAATCGTGTGGCCCCATGAGGAATCGGTCTCCCTCCTCTCTGGTTTTGGGGTTCATCACCCAAGAACCACTGCTGCCAAGTCACTGCAGCTCAGCAGCTCCTGAGTTGAGCGTCTGCCCCTTGGTGGTCAGTGCACTTAGCATATTAGCCTTTCATATATATATATAACTAGAGGCCCGGTGCACAAAAATTTGTGCACTCGGGGGGAAGGGGGTGGTCCCTCAGCCTGGCCTGTGCCCTCTCGCAGTCTGGGACCCCTAGGGAGATAACAACCTGCTGGCTTAGGCCTGCTCCCAAGTGACAGAGGGCAGGCCCAATCCCTAGGTGCAGCCCCTGGTCGGGCTCAGA